TCTAACACTGTCGAATTCGTCGATGCGGAGAATCTGGCCAAACTGATTAAAGACCAAACAAAAGAACCAGGGAAAGATTATCTGATAATTGACGTACGCGATGAAGATTTCAAGGTAAGCTAGCCGGTGAAAGAAATATCATGAATAGAAATTGTGAGTGTAAACGGAATGGGGGGAGGGATAACTTGGCTTCTGACAAACACTTTTACACCAGTCTGGACATATTCCGGGGGCTATCAACATTCCTTCACACACTATGGCGGACGAAGTCAACAATTTAATAGATACCTATAGGCAGGGTAATTGGCTACAGTGTTATATTATATTATGTTGGCGAAGTGATGTCATTGATTTTTTGTGATTTCCTATTTCACACATCACGCATTCACACATAATACATTTTTGCTTTTCTCATATCTGTCTTGACCTTAAGTTCCGCAAATTTTCTTCCACTGCGCTCTGTCTCAGCGACGCGGGCCGTCCTCTGCTCGCGTTTACAGTGAAACGCTTTCGCAAAAAAGCACCGAGACCTCACAAAAGGTCCAAATACTTCGAGGTGGATTCGTGCTGTGGCAAGAGAAGTACAAGGACGACCCGGAACTGATTGCAGATTATGATAAGGATGTATGGGAACAAATGGTGTATTATTGAGTGTGACAATCAGCGAGCGCACAAGTCATATGTGTGATTATTGACTTGTTGCTGATCGCGGTTGTAAGCAAATTGCCATCGCTAATCATGTATGAAATAAAAACCAGCAGTAGCCTTTGTCGTTTCCAGTTATCCTGTTTGCTTCGTCCAATAAATAATTTGCCAATATATACCAGATAACACAACAACTTTCATAACCAATATGATACATATATTACACCAATTCTTATTGTCAAAAAGAGAAAGTAAAGTAAAGTTATTTTTCCTGCTCAAGTCTCTTCTTAATAATAACTACCTCGTTATACTATAGTCAGCTGCTTGGAAAAAGTGATCATATGTGAGCTGCTTGGAAGCCAAACGTGCAAAATAACTTTACCAAAGTGTTGATACTCACAGAATGTAACAGTGTTAGCTTACGGCTGACGAGAGAAATAGATGTTAATGTTCTGCTTTCAGAGAACAGGTCGTACGGACCCCCCATATATGTCTTATAGAGAATGTTAGCTATATAATGGTGGGAAGCCCGATTGTCAGGTTACCGTAATGATTGACGATTAACCCTTATAGTATTAATTCCAACCGGAACCTGTAAATAACGCATTTGTTATTATTTCAATGTCCAATATTCAGAGTTTCTACATGACACGTGATATTCACCCTCGTTCTGACTAGGAGCTTCACCCCATTCACCAGTTGTATCATTGTTGACATCAATTCTTTTATCAGAATCCCAGGTTGCACCTACATTCGATGAAGGGAGCATGAGTCATCAATAATAAGAGAATAGGCGCAAACGGCTTGTGTGAGCCTTACCTTTTTTCCAATCATTGTCGGCTTTTTTCTGCCTTTCCGCTAATAATGCAAAATACGCTGAATATTAATATGCCACGCAATAGTCATAATAAGCAAGTCATTTTTTTAAATATCTTCTTGCCAGAAGCTTTATCGGCTGCCTCCATTCGATCGGCCCAACCAGCTGTTTGTCCAGACGTTTTACTGGGCCTCGACTCCCCATCATTAACGTTCTGCTCTACTACGGGAAAAGATAACGCGTTACAGATAATGATTCTATTACAAGTATGACGTTGAAACGTCTTCATTGGAATAATACCAATGTTCAGTTCTTTACCATTATCAAAGTTTTTAGGGGCGAACGCCTCGAGAGGGCTGGGCAGGTCTGCGCCTGGAGTCTCGTCCCTATCGCTTTCTCCCCAAGGCGTGTCTAAATTATTTTAAAGAGAAAGGTTATTATCTATTCATTCTTAATAACTCATTAGGCATCCCTACTCCTTAATGATACAAGACAGATAAGTACTGTGCATAAGCAATATAGTAAGAAGAAATATAACGAACTGAACATGTACGCCACGCGTGTAACAACCATATCCGCCAAGATTTAAAAGACAAAACTCGCCTTTCGTTGAACCAGCCACATTTGACCAATCAGAGGTCGTATCAATTTTCGTATTATTATCCCAGCCCCCTTCCCAAGTTTCACCTGTCCCGCTTTCTTGCTGATCGTTCCAGTCTCCTCTCCCAGGGTCGTCTCTTCTTCCTCCGTTCTCCCACCGACCGCCTCTTCGTCCACGCCCTCGTCCTCGACTCCGTGAACTTCGTCTTTCTCCTCTGGTGTTATTATTTCTGTCACCGGAACGATTGTACGATTTAGGAGATGACGGAGAATAATCTGCGTGGGATTTGCGG